TGGGACGCCATAAAATTCCCAGGTGGCGACTCTGAAATTAATAAAGAATCCCGTTTCGATTGTCCTTTAATCAGAAAAACTCTCTTTACACTACGCCCCCTCCAGAATGTTGTGTAAAGGCGAGGTGTGACAAAGGTAGCAGAAGTTACAGTCAGGACAATCATTCGAGGACGAATGATCCCAAGAGGGAGATAATGTAACACCCCGTACATTCAGACTAGGTGTAGATATGTTAAATGGGTATTAATTTGATATTTTAGACATATGAAGTCCTATAGGGATGATTATGGGTGAAAATAGTTATTTCAAAATTAAGATGGAAAGTGAGGTGCATAAGATTTGACAAAATCGACTAAGTTTGCAGAAGGTTCGTATGCCAGCAGGTTTTAGTGAAAATGAGTAAGAAATTTGGGAAAACTCAAAGCATGAAAGTTGTAGGCCTTTGAAATAGCTTTCCAATGATATATTATGGAGTCGAACGGATCTCTGTGCAAAACGTTATACGCGTTTTACAGAACAGTATGCGATATGCGCGCCGGTAGCGCGGCCGCGCTAATTTTGAGGCAGTGTTACTGCCGTTTAGCGCGGTCAGTATCACGGGCAGGCCTCCATATGCATGGGAGCACTAGTGGGAGGTCGTTTTAAAGCTATATTTTGTCTCCCACAGCCCCAAAACATAAAAACTTGCTCTAGAAAGAGGAACTCTAAAAAACCTAACTCCTTAAGGGTCTTTCTTCCACCCAAGGTAAGTTCTAATGGTGATTCTAAGTTAATTTCAATATCCCAATATCTTATTAACATGGGTAAATCCTCTATATCATTAGATATTTGTTTAGGGCATTATTGTTGAGAGAAGAAACCCTAGAACTCGAATTCAAGAAGATTGAACGTCAAAAATGTAATGTCTTCACCCTCTAATTGATTCTAGCATTGGATTAATGATTATTGACTCAAGTTCATGAGATATGCGTTGATGGATTTGATAGAAAAGCATGAACACTTATAGGTTTGGCTTGTTGATTGTTGATTATTGGTTAAGGGTGTTGTTTACCTTATGAGTGATAAAGAATAATATTGATTATAACTATTTGAGACTTTAGAATTTATTTAGGAGCAAGAAAATGGGTTATTAGGTATAGAAACACCATTAATAAGGATTATGAAGCTTTATGCCACCAAGTGTTTGAGAAAATGCCTAAGTGACCAAAATATGAGTATTATTGTTAACACGGAATCCCTTTGACTTGTATTGATATAGATTGAAGTTGAAGGGGGTTGGCGAATGTTGTATTATGCTCAAGAGCAGGAAGTTAAGGTATGTGAGGCCAACTCTCTATGTTTGGGAATATTAATGATTCTCTCTACACTACGTTTCTTTTACGACGTATCAATTGCCTCAAAAAAATATATAGTTAAGCCTAGTTCCTTGAATAGTTGTAGAGCTTCTATTCTCTAGCTTCATAACTCGTTCATGACTTTTATTCTGAATGTTGTGAGCTCAGTGCGTACTCAATATAGACTTGGGTTTGATGCCCCCGAGTCTTAGTATAGATTACTCAGTATGCCATAAACAGTTAAAGTTTCAGTATTCGTAATCAGTTCAAGAATACACCTCTCAGTCTAGTCCTATTCAGTATTCCACTATTATGTAATTCAGTGTGATCCAGTATTCCAGTATTATATAACTCAATGTGATTCAGTATTTCACTATCATATATTGCAGTATGATTCTCAGTTCCTGATTTTAAATCCCTGAATGTTGAACACTTGTATTTGGGCCTGAGGTCGCAGTTTATGCTTTATGCATCTTTGGTCCTGGGGCCGCAGTTTATGCTTTATGTATTTTGGACCTGAGGTCGAAGTTATGTATACGTATAGTCCCGGGGCCGCAGTTTGTGCACATATATATATTGGGCCTGAGGACGCAGTTTAATATTCAGATAAACAGGTTGTTCATCATTCAGAAGATGGAGTATTCATATCCTTACTTCCTTTCAGTTCAATTATTAGTTATCGTTCAGTTATCAGCTATCATATCAGTTACTAGTTATCTGTTATCAGTTCAATTACCAGTTATCAGTTCAATTATCAGTTATCATTTCAGTTTCAGTTTGAATAGTTATCATTTCAGTTATCAATTATAAATTCTCAATTATCAGCTTAGTTTCAGTTTCAGCATTTGTAATTCTTTCTTTCAGTTGCTTTACATACCAATACAATTCAAATGTACTGACGCCCCTTTTGCCCGGGGCCTGCATCTCACAATGCAGGTAATGATTTACAGGTCGACGACGCAGAGCACTAGGATTCTCGTACCAGCTAATTGGTGATCCCCAGTTCTTTTGGGGCATTATCATTACTTTACAGCCTTTCAGTATTTACAGATAGTCAGTGTTTTCAGTACTTCAATAGAGGCTTCATAGACTAGAGTAACAGTTAGACAGAGTCTCAGACTTTTCATATTAAGCTATGTTGGCTACAAATATGTTTCAGAATTATATTAGTATTTCCGCACTTTGATTTATATCATCCATACTTTCAGTATATCAGCATATGTTAGTTTATCTTCCGCATTTAGTATGTTATGATATCACATGTTGATTCAGCCAGCCAGTTGGTTCGCTCGGTCACATGTAGTCAGGCACAGAGTGTCGTGTTACGTCCAGGCCCAGGTTCGGGGCGTGACATAAATACACGCGTAAAGCACGTACTCTAAGACTAGCACTATATTAAAAGCACGAAGGTCATTAGCGAAATATCATTCTCCTTTTTTATCCTTTAAAGATGAATTTCACACTAAACAAAATAGTCATTTAATTATTTTCCTACTATTTAGAAATTTTAAACCAACTAAAATTTTTACTATTACATCTACTTTCTTATTTCAATTATATAAGAATTCCTAATATTTATGAGCTTAAAATTACAATTGTACCTTCATTTAACTTTCCAACGAAACTGCATCCAACTAACCATAAAACAACTATTTTCCAACGTCATATGCCTATATCTATTGAGATAAGACAATTGCTTCCCTTGTCTAAATTAAGATTATAGGGTTTCTCTTTTATTAAAGATTTTTTTTTTTGAAAGGTTTGGAGTCTATATGAACAAATAATTCTATGCACTTAGGAACCACGAAAAACAAATTCCATGATCACCAAGTAAGGAAAAAAAATTAAGAATAAAACTCAATCCGAGAAAAGGCAAAAAGAAAGAAAGAAAAGCAGAACATGTTTTTAAACTTGTAATCTCTTTTGGTATAGCAAGTAGTCTTATCTTTATTTTTCTACACAAAACATTTATTTTAGAATCCTGATAATAAATCAAATTTTATTTTATTATTCTACAGGAAAATGGTAAATTGATTCTACTTATAATCTATAGTCATGGTAAAAGTGCTTACTAAATCTTCTTCTTAGAAGAATGAATATTGAGATATGTAATTCTATATATTATGTATTCTCTGTATAGTACATGTTCGTAAACTGGTAATCTCTTTTATTATAAAAAGTAGCTTAACTTCTTTTTCTGCATAAAAAATTATTTTAGAATCTTAATAAATTAAAATAAGCACGATAATTAGAAGAAAAAAATTTATACTCCATTTTATACCAACTAAAAGAGTGTGCTCTTAGTTGTTTCAAAAAGAGAAATTGTCAAAAGTTTACAATTAATGTTAAAATCGTCACTATTTCCTTATCTTCAATACTTGCCTTTTTTTCTACTAAAAAAATTCATTATTCTCTTGTATAATGGCATTATGAATATAGTAAAACCTCAATTAATTTTAAAGCTTCATTATTTCTTTGAGGTAAATAATAATGAGGTACTTAGTTTTAATGAGGTAATAAATAATGAGGTAAAAGATTTATATTCAATAGTATAAAATTTTATAATATTTTTATGAAATACCATTAAACAAACTATAACGTAATATCAATACTTAGTTTTTTTTTTTTGGTTTCCCACCCCGGTGTTCGGTATCCGCATTGGATCCCGACTATATCCGGATTCGCGCCGGGTAAGACCCCATTCGGGAGGTAGCGCTCCCTACCAAGGATTTTTCTATACCCAGAGCTCGAACTCGAGACCTCTGGTTAAGGAAGGAGCAACCCTATCCACTGCATCATATCCTTTGGTGGTTCAATACTTAGTTTTATTGGTGTGTGCTTGTGTGTGTATATGTACACGCAAATTGTTAGTCCAAATTTGTATTATTTGCATTGTGCCCGAAAGAGATGTTAGGTGAGATACAACAATATAATATACTTTGTATCTTATATAATAAAATACTTATAATTACAACTAATATATAAGTAATTCAACTAAATTCATAACTTTGCATGTTTAGAAAATGTTGATTTCTGACTTTGTTTCATAGTAATAATATTTATTTTCATTATTTAAACATATATTGCATTTAAGTTAACGCTAATTGATGTGTTCAAATAAATTGTTCTACTTGTAAATATTTTATAATAACTGACGCAGAGCACACGTGCAATGTACGTACACTAAAATTACTCCCTCCGGTCCAAAATAAGTGATTTTTAGCCCTTTTTTGTGGTCCAAAATAAGTGATTTTTTCAAATTTCAAGAATGAATTAATTATTTTTTTTTCCTACATTGCCCTTGGAGTAAATAATATTGGAGTATGTGTTAGGAGTATTTATGTGAAGAGATAGTAAAGGTTAATATGGTCAATTTCATTACTAATTAATGTTAAAAAGTGAATTTCTTAATATGTGTGAAAACAACTAAAAAATCACTTATTTTGGACAGGAGGGAATAATATATATAAATATATATGTTATGTGTTTATTGAGCTGGTAAATACCCAGTGTGAATAAGTGTTTACTCATTGGTACTCGTGTTGTCTCCCATTCCTCCATCTCTTTTCTGGCATCACATAGCCACTTCAGTAACTTTGTTTGGAATTTGTATCATAATAAATACCTTAACAGCCGACGGGAGAGGAGGAAGGGAGTGGAAAAGGAGAAAGAAAATTAATTACTTTTATGTAACAAAAGAGAAATTACAGTAGCATCAAAGATTCCATGGCCCAATGGATAAGGCGCTGGTCTACGGAACCAGAGATTCTGGGTTCGATCCCCAGTGGAATCGCTTTCTGCTTTTTGTGCCAGACATTTTCATTCTATCCATCCTTTTGCTCATTGACAGGAAACACATCACTGTGTACAGATATCCGCTGGCCTACAAACTGTAATAATACTGTTGAAGAAATCTCTTTTTCTTAGTCAGTTAAAAAAAGAGACTACAAAGAATCCTTTGCATATGATACAGAGAAATCCTCAGATAGTATTCCTATATTGGAGCATTCTCGATCATATTTGAGCTCAACCACTTGAAAGAAAGTTCACGACTTCAAGGTGATGCATTAAGTCGCCAAAGCTGCTTCTTGGATTCACCAACCTCAGCATCGTTCAAATGAAATGGTGATTCAAACTTCCGCTTCAAAAACACCTGTCAGCAAAATCGAAGATGTCCAAATGTCAGGCCCAAAAAAATTATGGCTAATTGCTGCTGCATTTCATAACCGACCTATCAAACAATCAACTTTCTACTGCTTTCTACAGCTTCTGAATAAACTAGAATCCAAAACACCTTAGTACTCCACTAAAAAGTCCTCAATGTTAGATTACGAGAACAATACAACATGGCAAATATTTCTTCAGTGATCTTATAAAACTTATTCCTAACATGCCTCAAAAGAAATTTAACGAGTATTCCAACAATATGGAATCCAATACACTGCCAAAACAGCTTATAGTCTGGTGGTATCACCAAGAATTTTCCAAACAATAGGTGTGAGTTTGATTGCCACCATCCCCTTCCCCTTTTTCCTTTCCTAACCCCCCCTATGTAATAGAAAAAGAAATTAAAAAAAATACACCGCCAAATATGTTCAAAGGCTTGTAAGACTCATTAACAAGCACAAACATTTCAGTAACCGAGAAATCAGTTAGTCCCCAATATGACTTCATACAAATTCAATTTCTTTCGAATCACTTTCAATTGTAGAAGTAAATAAAAAGTGCAGCTATCAAGGCCCAAAACCCATACTTCATGATGTCAGTCGGTAAGAAACCAATAATCCGCCGGTTTTATTTGGCGACTTCAATAATTCCGGTGAAAATTTGGTGTAAACAAAATACTCCATAAGCTAAAAGAAGATGAAGTTCTTCCAACAGAATTGGTGTTACCAATCACCATGAACTTTATAGGAAGCTGGCGACAATTTCACAATTTTTCAGATGCTTAAGCTGAAGAACACTATAGTCAATTATAGAAGTTAGAAGTTTACCTCCTCTGGTCTATGTCTGTTCTGTCTTGGAAGCCTTCGACTTCTCAAGCTGCTTGCGGAGATAAGCCTGCTTTAGTTTTTCTCGACGTGCTGCAACTTGTTCTTGCCTACGGAGCTTGAGTTCTGATGCTTTTTCCCTTGCTTGACTTGCTTCTTTATGAACTTCCCTGAGAACAGCAACATGTAATGCAAATGTAAGTAGAAAAATGTTGTGAACAAAGTGAATAGTGCAGAGAAAAGATACTGAAAAAGCAATAAGTGAAGACTTCTCAGCAAACAATTACGATAATTTCTGTACTTTTCTACTTGAGGGATCAAATTCTTTACCCACATAGAAAGTAAGTTCTCAAGAAACCTACCCGAGAAAAGGGAGGTGAAAAATAAGCAACGAAAAGAAGAGGAAGGAGGAGAGCTTCCTTTAAGCTGACTATCATGAACAAGCTAAAATACCTAGGATTTTATAGCACCCAAACTCCCTATCATCAAAATTCAGTGTCCTGTATTTTATTTGATTTTGATGAATACTGTTAAGTGTTTCTCTTTTCTATGTTTATTTATGGGATCTGGTTCCCTTCTACGTTTGAGCACATGAGTGTACCATCCTGATAATTGATAGGTTCGTAATCTTTCAATTAGAATTGGGTAGATGTTTTATTTTCCAGAAGCTTTTAGATACTACTCCCTATTTAGCAGAAAATGCTTGCAATAAATAATGCTATGCGTCACCCTTGGGATGAAAATGAATTAGACAGGTTTATGAGTAACTGCAAAGTGTCGCAAACATCTTAAACAGTGTAAAAGGTAGGAATTAGTTTTCTCTAATTAACTAAGCACACAAATATCTAAGCTAAATATAAAGTGTATAATTAGCAATACATACATTACAAAACGCTTATGTTCACTTCTGTCAAATGTGCCAGCTTGGCGGCCAAGTCCTGCAGCTTTTGTGTCTGGGAGTAGGGAGGTATCATCATCTCCAACTTCATCTCTTGGTTCTGTGCTAGAAGTATTGTGCCGTTGAGGCAGCTCAGAGTCTACCTGCTCCTGGCCCTTCCGAAAGAAATCAACACAGTACTTCTCTTCGTCCTCCCCGTCAGAAAGCTCACCCCTCACCAGCTTATCATACAACTTAGCCTTTCGTTCTAAGGCAGCATAGCTTACTGATCCATCTTTAACTGCTTTCAGCTCAAGCTTGTCCCTTCAATGAAGAAAAAATAGACATGAATTAAGCCTTTATACACTGTCACAGAAATTTTAACATCTCATAGCTAGTCATGCATTTGCCTAAAAACCCTGAATATTGCTGCTCCTCTATTAAAACCAACTTCTCCCTGCAAGGTTGTTTCTTCTCTAATTTAATTAAACAGTCTCAACCAAGCAATTTGCTAGGTGGAGACTACTGACACATACAAACATGATTTGCTTCTTCTAGACTGCTGTACCCATATAGAGCTGGAGCACCAATGAGCTAATTACTCTAGCATTTCAGATAATAGCCTTGGACGTTTTCTGGGCGACAGGCCTGATAAGGCACCAAATCCGCTGCCAGAGGCCCAGAGCAGTCCCCCATCCACGGCTTAACAGTTATGCCTTAAAAAAATATGAATATCAAAAGCTTACACATATGCAGGACTTCAGCAAATTAGCCCAAAATAAGATAGAATCCAGTTTCAACTCATGTTTCAATCAATCAGAACAAAATATGCATTTGGCCCTAATTTCCAAACCCCACAATTGCATCAACACATAAAGTTCCATATCACTTACTAATGGCCGTACTTCCCAATTAAGTCTCTACTATCAAAACCCTGAAGCTTATCACATATACAATTGCAATATGCAAGAGACTTTAAAACCAATTCTAATCTCAATTATCACTAAATCCTTGGGCTTACAAGCTTAAGACAGATTGCCAGAGGATGTCAGTTTCCACTCTCTGATAGTATGAACCTTTATCAATACATTCTTATTTGACCAAAATAGATTGCAACCACCTCAATTATGAGCATAAAAATTGAAAACAAGTATAGTACTTAATTAACAAATAAAATAGGGAAAGGGAAGGAGAAAGTATACTTGGCCTCTCTAGCATCAACCCCATGATTCTTGGAGGAAAAGGCGTCCTTAGCGGTGATTTTCTTCTTGGCGCGGTGGATCTCCAGATGCGAATAATTTGGGTCAGCAGCAGAAGGGTGGACGGTCTCTTTGGAAAGGCGTTTGGACTCTTCTTGAGATTTGTATAACTGGGCTTTAAGCTCAAGGATGGAAGAAGCACCCACACCCTCGATTGGTCGGTGCTTTTTGGGCATGATTGTGGATTCCGTCAGCCATCCTAGCGACTCCACAACCACCCTCTTCTTCTCCTTGTTATTCTCTCCTTCTTCCCCCATTGATTATGTATGCACAAATTCACACACACACACACACACACACACACACCCTTTGGGGTTTGATTGTTGTATGTATTTGGTTTTGATCGTTCTAGTTGTTCCTCTGCTTCTTCGCTGTCTTCTTTTTTGGGTTAGGATTGAGGAATGGGGAAGTTTTGGAGCCTCTATTTTGAAATACGACATTTTATAGGGGCTTTCTCAGAAATGAGAACCTTACAGCTATTTTCCTTATTTTCTTTTCACCTTTTTAGAACATTTTTCTTTTTTTTCTTTTTTTCTTTTTTTTTTTTACTCCTGGCTGGATAGGGCTTTTAAAAAAAAATTAAAAAAAGTAGTAATTGGATTGGGGGAAAAACAAGAGTGAAATTGTAAAAGATGTTTTGATTCGTTCCTTCCATCAAACATAATTTTCGTCATTTTTTTCTTTAATTAAGCTGCAAACAATAGAAATATGCTACACTTGGTCTATTTCACTTTTAGTATTTTATAAGTGAATAAATATGTCTTTTTTCTAATAAAAATAAAAAAAATGTTACAGATCTAAAAAGTAATTTTAAAGTACCATATCTTGGAATGCTTTTCGTTCGAAAATATTCTAAATCTTTCATAAAAAGCTCAATAAAGAATCCTAAAATCCTTTTGCATCCTCCAGTTAAATAGTGATAGAGGAAAGTGTGCATAATTGTAAACTGTGGTTTGTATTGTCAGCAAAAGAAGACAGCAGAACACTAAGAAACGAATAATATCGAGCAACATCTCACACTTAGGCGAAGGAAGAATGACCAAACGAACCAAAATAAATATGAGAAAATTGTAAGTTACATACTTTTGGTACATAAACTATGTAAAAGCAGATTATTTAGAAGATTACATTAGTCCTGACACAGGAAATTGAACATCAGATGGGCATTGGAGAAACCAAAAGATACAACATTGTTCAAGTACAAGTTTTCAGTGCTTCTTATTGCCGGTTGCAACTTCCCAAGCTTGTAAAACGTGGTTCACTATGTCCTCCACGCCAACCCCATGCTTCACCTGCAGTTGAATCAAAACATTCTATTGCAATATGAATATGCCAGACACTGCCATCAGATAGTGAACGTTAAAATTACAATAGGCGAGAATCAATTTCTCCATTTTGTTTGGGGGNAGAGATGCTGGGTACATAAGTTAACAAGACTTAGACCCTAGTGACGCGTTTTAAATTCGTGAGGGCCTAGGCTCAGAGCGGACAATATCACTAGCGGGTTGGATTGTTACAATCTTCCTGTGGTATAGCTAAGCACTAAGCCGTATCAATGAACCAACCAACATATAATAGTTGTCAATTGGATGGCACACACCCTGGTGCAATATATATTAGCACAAGTCTAGTCCACGCATTCCTAGAATCCTATCCTTGCACTCTAGCACTTATCTTAATTGCACAATAGCACATCTGCACAATATTAGTGTACATTTCCACACAGAATGAACGGCCATGATTTGATTGGGAGTGTTATTTATACTAATAAAATTACCAAAATATTTGAATAGGGATGAGAAAATTAATTAACCTGAGCAAAAACAAAAGGACCGCCGTCCCGCATCCGAAGTGCATCCCGCTCCATGACAGACAGATCTGCTCCCACAGCTGCTGCCAAATCGGTTTTATTTATCACCTACAATTTAAGAACCAACAATTATATAATAATTTGACCATGTGTATACAGAAGTTTACAACTGATAAATTTAACAAGTCAAACGTGCAAAATAAGAAACATACAAGGAGATCTGCTTGGGTAATTCCAGGACCTCCTTTTCGAGGAATTTTATCACCACCTGATACATCTATTATGTAGATTATGTAATCAGCAAGTTCCCTACTGAAGTTGGCAGCTAGGTTGTCTGCATTGAAGGAAATTTGGTTAAATGACAGGAAACCTAAACTTAAACATGTTATATCTGATCGTAATGGTAATCCTATCTTCTTATCAAACCAAGTAAAGAAGTGACAGCCAGAGGACCATCATTTTACTGAAAACATAAAGTCAAATATCCTTATTAGTTTGTGTGTGCAAACAGTTTCTATGACCAATTACCTCCACCAGATTCACAAAGTAGTATATCTGCTTTGTACAAGTTAGAAAGCTCCTCAAGAGGTCCAAGGTTAATGCTTATATCTTCCCTAATAGCAGCATGTGGGCATCCTCCTGTTTCCACTGCTCGTATCCTTTCCTCCGGCAGCGCGCCATGTTTTATTAAGAACTCTCCATCTTCTTTAGTGAATATATCATTTGTTACCTACAAAGAAATGCATCTTAACAAAGACAAAATTCATTCTATATCTTAAAATAAAAAAGCTAAGATTTAGTGAACATAGACTTGCACTATATACTGCATTACCATATGTTGTAGATCAACAAAGTTAATAGTGGAGAAGTATATCAAAATTTAAATAACTCATCGGAAAGTGATGAAAGAGCATAGGAGTTTCTGAACACCAAACACATGCTTGCACAGTATCTTATTTCCTTTCAAACTAAGAGATGTCTGGTAAAGTCCTGAAACTTGGTTCGAAGTTTCTGCAATATCAATCTGTGATGCGTAGGGAGGAGTTCTAAATGAAGAAAGAAAAAGAACATGACATATCCAATTAATCTTCAAAAGGCAAGTGTAATAAAGAATGTTGTTATGTAACTTGAATGACTCAATTACAAGGCATATTGCACATAATCGAATCTTCATCTAGAATTTCTAATGATGAGGTAGAGAAAGATATGAACACCATTGATTAAACTTTAGCTTCATACTTCAAATGACAAAAGGGAATCCTCAAATTATAACCACTTATGCAGACTAACACTCGTTCATCAAGTAAACATGGATTATGGAAAAAGCAAAAAGAAAATATCATTTGGTGGTACATACTGCTGCAAGACTGTATTTGTCCCTTAGGAGTTTACATAATGCTAGCATTAAAGCTGTTTTCCTGCAAATGAAATATTATTTAGTCACTTTAGATCTCAACACGTTCAACCAAAATTGTACAAGCTAATTACAGAAGGGAAAAAACTAAGTGTGGAAGAAAAGCGATAGCAAAAACTAATGTACAATAGAATTCAATTCACTGCAGTACCTTATGAAACTTGAAGTGAAAAAGGAAAATGCATGTGCACACAGATACACACACACACACTGGGAACTTGGCTTGCTGCACCTGAAAGAAAATCCTACTTATTAAGAAATCCTCCTCCTGCTCTCGTTTCTCAAGGTCGCCTTTTTCTTCTCACTCTTATCATCCTTTTCACCAGTTACTACTCAACCCCACCACCCCCCACCCC